GTTATGTGCTTTTTATATTCATTTCATTCTCAATACGTATTGAATAAAAATATTTTAGTTTTGTGCAATTATTTTTTATTCATATTAGAGCTATTTAAAAGTTTGCTTAATTCCTGTGTAAAACCTTTAAACGACATATATTTATGAACGGAGCGAGTACGTAGAATTTCATATATTTTGATGGAAGTGTTGGCCCTCGGAATCTATAAGTAGCGTGTTGGTTACTTAGATGTCATTTGGATGAAGCTGGTGTTGCCACGTATACAAGTTCGTTTGGCCTTCTTCCTCTTTCCATTCATCAGTTAGTTAGAGTGAGTGAATGAACCACAAAACAAAAGAAGAAAACAATGGCGATTAGAGGTGCAGCTTCTTCAATCGGAAGACAAACAAGCACAACATCTCTGCTCTCGATTTCAGGATATCTCAGAACTAGATATCATGGTTCTGCTTCAAACCCTCTTCATAGATCACTTCCATTTGCCCATTCCCAAACTGGTTATTTATCAATTACGTACATTTTTTATGATTCTATTGATTTCTTGTTCTTTCTTGGTTGAATTGAGTCTAATTCAAATTGGGTTTAGTTCTTTGCTGCTTTGTTAAGCATAGAATGGAACAAAATTTGTTGGGTGTTATAGATTTGAAATTTTAGAATTTGGTTAATTTTTTCATGTTAATATTTTGTTGGTTGTAGAATTTAAGTATTCGATTCGCGCAATACAAGGGGCAGCAGCAGATCCTGTAACTCCCAAGAAAGAAGATGAAGAACAATTATCCAAGGAATGGAAGATTAAAATGCTTTACGATGGCGAGTGCTCTCTTTGCATGCGTGAGGTGCAATCTAAGTTACACACAATTGCATTCTAGGTTTTTATTTACTTCCATAGTATTATTAATGTGTTTTGAGTGGTGAATTCTTCAGTTGTTCTGTTAATTTTTTTACTAGGTAACTTAGTTTCATATAATTTCATATTGGTGTGATTCTATTGTCAGGTCAATATGATAAGAGAGAGGAATAAGAGCTATGGAACAATCAAGTTTGCTGATATAAGTTCGGTTCAATACTCTCCGGAGGAGAATCAGGGCCTTGACTATGAAACTGTAATTTTATTTCACACTTAATAAGGCAGTATCTACTTTTTTTTCTATCTAAATTCTCTCCTACATGCCTGTAATATTCAAAACACTTCCAAACTTTTAAGACACTCACATTGCCTATTCTTTAGTCATATTTATACATGCAATACATGGTAATCTAATACACATTACAATAGCTACATGGGCTCTCTCCAACCCAAATAAGGTTTAGAAATCATAAAAATAGTCAATTCTTAGTTATAAAATAGCATATATGGTTTTGAAGTAAAACAGTGGCATTTAATAATGATCTGAAGTTTACAGTACAAAACAATAAAGTTCATAATGTTTTCTTTTTTGCAAACTGTGTGCAAGTTTGGGACTACACCTTGTGTGACTTAACATCTGCACCTTAATACCTTAATAACATCTTGCTTCTATTTCCATTATATAACTTAATGAATTCATAGCATGAGTAATGATCGAGATTTAAGTCTTTCTTTTACATTTGCCTCCCTGGGACCCTGAAGCCTCTCAGCCTCAGGCTTATAATGTTGACAAGCCTTAAACCCAACTTTCTTGGGTAAGGCTATTGGGACGTATTAATACTACAGAAAAGTGTGATTTTAACTGATAACTGGCTCTCATACTGTCATAAATTCTTCATGAATTGAAGGCCAATGTCCTGATATCAGCCAATCGGTGGCACAATACTATGGACTTCTATAGCATAACTTCATGAATCTGTATTTTTTTAGTTGTTATGACTGTTTAAGGTCTCACAAATATATTTTCTATTGTTTAGGTGATGGGAAGAATTCATGCGATCCTATCTGATGGAGCTGTAGTCAAAAACGTTGAGGTATACCCCTGTAAGATTTTCATAATAGCCTTAATAATTTCTTCATATTTTTATGCCTTTCTAGTTAATCTAAAACTACATACATAAGATGTGGTGTCTCTATCTTACCCTTATTTTCCTCTGTTGTATGCATGCTGATTCTTGTTAATTTAGTCTATGCACCTGAATTAAGGGATTATTTTGCTGCAATTAATATTTGTCCTGTCATCCCCACATATCAAAAGCTGAAACTCCAATTTCGCCACTGCCCTGTTTGAGCAAGATTTTCTTCAAATGATTATTGGTTGGATTTTAAGCAACAATTAATAGATTTGAAGAAGACTCTTAATTCCATTTTTTTCAAGCGCATGCGTGGTGCCATTTCACGTATTTATGATTTTGGAACAAGCTGAAGTAAGTGAAGTTATATACGACCATACAACTATTTTATTTGCTTATTTTGTGGTGATGCGAAAGGACTAGAGGAAGTGGATAACACGAACATTGGCCATTCATTATTAGATAATTCTGCATCTAGAAAATAATTGAGGAACCCTCTGCAAATTTTTATTGTTCCTAAAAGTTGAAGCTGTTATTCTTCTGTTTGGTTTGAAAAGCACACCAAGAAACAAAATTTCATTATGAACTTGTGCAGGCATTTAGAAAACTATATGAAGCAGTTGGTCTGGGATGGGTTTATGCCATAACCAAATACAAGCCTGTGAGTCCTCTTATTTACATTTGAGTTCAATTGATTTGTCACGGTCTAGGCAATGTGATCTTATCAGCAAGCTTGTTAGTATCTTCTTATATGGGAATTGTGTTGAAAAGACATTATATTGACAGGTTGCAACAATAGCCGATGTTGTGTATGGTGTTTGGGCAAAATATCGTCTTCAAATAACAGGTACTCCCTGTTTGCTCACTATGTTTTGATTTTTATTTTTGTTTTGGCGATAAATATGTGATTATCTGCTTAGCGTCTGTTTTGCATAATGCTCCCTTTCATATTTTCAATTATCGGCCAATAGTTTATAGCTGCTCCATTGCAGGTCATCTGCTAGGTTGAGAGTGAACCATATCCCAAATTTATTTTATCACACGAGGACGTATGCTTATACTTTTGCCACTTCCCAACATGTTATGCTACATATATGTTCATGTGACATACTTCAAATGATGCTTCAGTAAGTTACATCAGAAAATCCCAAAAACGTGTACTTCTATGTTATGTAGATGGCTTATATTATTTTGTACAAGTTTTCAGCTTTAATAATGACTAGTCCATGATCTTTCTGATTACAGGCCGGCCACCTCTAGAAGAAGTTATAATGGCACGGAAGAAGAAGGTCTGCAAATGCAATTGCTATAATCTATGTTATCTTTTCATTCCTGAAGTGTCATGAATTGCATAAATGTCATTGTTAATGACTTTTTCTTTAGAGAACTTAATATGTCACAGGAGAGGGACAACACATTCATGGGGTGAGATGAGACTCAAACCCGTGTGGTTTGTATGGGTGAGAGGGTTTCCTTCCCGTCTATCTCCTATGTATCCCTCCAACTTTCCAACTTTCCATCCTTCCAACTAACAAAAAATTGATGCAACAATCTTCCCTCGCAGTGTGCAACTCCAGTACCCCTGGAACCAAGTCCAATTGTTTCTTTGAATGGAATTAGAAATTTCAGTTTAGGTGTAATAGAAGGTTTCACTTTAATACAAAAAATCCAAATCTACAGTATCACATATTGTGGAACCATTATCCTTAAGTTTGACTTTGAATCCACAGCCTAAACTTTTACTCATCAAAGAATATGAAGTGGACTGCATTCATAGGGCAATCGAAAATGGGTATTCCTCCCAAGAATATGTATCAAAATCTACCTTATAGACACATTAGTTTTGGTTTAATCTTCTTACAGAGCAAGCACTGGAGTGGTGTGGAAAAAAATATGGAGATTACACTGGCTTTGATTATGATAGGCATAAGAAATAATACAGCTAGGGTGGGTTAGTACATATAGTTTCAGCTGATTGTTGGAAAGAAATGAAGTTTTCTGGTGTCCTGCTGTTTGTCTCTTAACTTGGAAATTCAGGATCCGAAACTACAATTTTTAAAGTAGTTTTCATTGGCCTTGTGCAAGATATAGGCCAAGTTACTTTCTTATGAGACTAATCACCACTTGCTGAATAGCTCTGCATTCATGTCTCCCTACTCATTGTTCAATAATTTATCCTGTATATAAACTTAATTTTTGAATCTTAAACTCGATATAAGACAACAAGTAGTTTACTAAAGAAGTAAAGGAAAAACTTACATTGCTAACTAGTATGACATAGAAACTGATATCGTCTACAGAGGCTGGCTTCTTCTCAGCTCTTTTTCCTTTTCCTGTCCTTGTCTTAGAACTAATTTCAAGACAGCACTCCTATGCATAAGCATTCTAATCTAAGAAAGTTTTGTTGCAAACATTCAGAAGTGTTTAATTATTTCACATGAGAAGCCATGCTTTTATTTTTTTGGGGTAAGTGAGAAGGAATACTTAAATGACTCCATTTTTCCCCCCTTACAGGAAGAAATATGCAATGACAACAAGGCATGTAACACATAAGGTATTTTTCAGTCATTTTGCTGGCTGTAATGTGCAAGGATCATGAAGCTTGGATCAGTCTCTTGGTTTTGGCTTATCTACTTGCTTCTGGCCTAGAGATCACGTCGGTGGCATGGGAAGCTTGACAGTGTCTCTGTCCACTATTCTTGTTTCCCTCAAAATCGAAACTTGTGTATTGAACAATTCTTTTCCATTTCACAGTGACTTTGCTTGTTTAGGGGTATATATTATATTTATAAGCTGCAAAGTTATACATATATGTTCCAGCTTTAACATATGCATCCACTTATGTAGGGGAAATAAAAGACATTTGACAATCTAATGCCAAAACAAAAACGAACATCATGAAGAGACATTTGACAATATGACGACAAAACAAAAACAAACATGAAGTCCAGCTAACAGAACTATGCCTCACACATTTATTACTTACACTTGGTCTGGCACCTGAAAAAAGCTCCAACTTGTCCTAACTTCACACAATCTATGAATGGGAAGCAGTTGCTTGCACTGTGTATGTGATATGATTGAATCATTCTGGCCAGCACATTAGTCGAGTCTCTGCTTTTTAGCACCATTGTTATTTTTCAAAATGACAAGCTTTCTCATCCTGAACAATCATCCCAGACCCTTGGATGCTATCGCCCCATCTCCGCCGGGTCTTCACTAGGAACAACTGCAGCATGGACAGTCTGTTGATCAGCAAGTGACTCCAAACCATGGTTCTCAACAAGTTCAAGATCAGAATTCGGAAAATTCAGCAAGTTGTCTATGTCCCCATCAGAATGGAGAGGCACTGTGTCGTAGCTTGAGAAGTTGGTGCCAGTGTCTGGGGCCATATTGCCAGTGTTCTGCAAGCCATGTACCCCAGGACTATTTGTTGGCCAACTGGGAAATGTGGGTACAATGCTACCTTGAAACGATGTACCAGGATTTGTAGGATTGTAAGCACCATTCATGGCAGAAGTCCCAAAGTCGTATACATTGGGCCAATCTGGGTCGTTGGAGTTATTGGGGTGAACACCTTCAGATGAGGGCAAAGAGCGCTGAGTAAGAGAAGTATAATCATCAATGGGGATAACATCTACCCTGTGCTTAAATGCAGATACCACCAACTCGAGGGCATGAGCCTAATGCCAAAATTGACAAACTACGTGTTAGAAATGACCCATAAAAGGATGAAAGAAGGTAAAACAGAAAAAATCATTTGGTAAGAGAAGCGTGCCTTCTGAGTCTCAGAGAGCTTATCAACGGGAACATGCAGGGATTCCGATTCCGAATATAACCCCATAACTTGTCCCACACAATCAAACACGACACCAATTTTTGGCTGTGAACTGGGAGGATAGTATAAATACGTCTTTGTATCACGTTTACATTTCTTGGCATGGTTCACAGTGGTCTCCCACCTCGTATCAGGCATCCTCTTGCCAAGGATCTGTAGAGATACCAACAAACAACTATTATCATTACTTCATCTGACCAAGGAAAGTGAAATAGCTTATTCTTTGTTCATAGATGAATAGCCACTGTTCAAGGCTTTAAATAGACAGATATGCTATTGTTCATGTTGCGTATAAACCAAAAGTCAAATCACAAATGTCACTATAGACTATTGTACCTAAACAGAAATGAACTTTACTGTAATTTTGGTTCATTCTGGCCTTGGTCTGCATAATTGAGCACGGGATCCTTAAATTCTATAAACAACAGAACTGCACTAGCAGGAACATTTGGTCACTCAGGAACCTTAGAAAATTTGAGTTAACAGAAGTTGAACCAGTATACATTGGGTGCTTTAATTGCAGGACACATTAGCTTAACAGAAATATGCTCAGATCTTGCAAATAAAAAAAGCAAATCAGAAGTTCAATCCAAATTTGTTTTTCAGGGGATTTTGCATCAGACTCAACATAGTCATATTTGGAAAAAATGAGGGTGCTGGAGTTGGTTCAAATACCACCCCAAAAAAAAAATAACAACAAAAAAACATAAAACTCCAAGAAAGAGACAGGAAAGAAGAACAAATTTTGGTATATTCAACCTTTAGAAAGGTAACATTTTGTATAATTAGCATGTAGCGCCTTGACAAACATTATATTCAGAGTGGAGTGTCAAGTAGTTGACATACGACTAGTTACTGGTCCTTATCCTTGGGGAATATATGAAGAAAGAGCAATGAAATCTTACTTCTCTAAGCCTTTCAGGGTTCAAAAAAAATTGGGTCAAGAAATCCTTCACAGTTATGATGTTTTCTTTGGTCAAACGCTGGTGGAAAGGTCCTCCTTTGCCAATATTTTCTAGTCGCCATACTTCATCCGATAGAGATTGGGTGTAAAGCTTCTTGCTCACTGTAAAAACACAAACCAGAAGTTATGCTGGGGTTTCATTGTTTTTGTTACTTTGGAAAGTTATTCAAATGCCACCGTAATATATGGCTTTCTCTGTGTGACTGTCTGTTCATATATTCGGAATCTATGCAAGAAACGTTGGTACGATAGATAACAAGTGATGGCAATTTAACAAATCATGCTCATTATTGCAGCCATTCAGATGAAGTCCTACGATTAATGTTTGACAACATTTACCATCCCCAGTACTGCAGCCAGTACAAGACCATCAGAAGCAAAAGTAGCTGATAGAGTCATTAATCCAAAGTTTTTCCTCTTCTGAAAAGAAAACACACTACCTCAATCAAGTCAAGTATTAACATTTTCCAATAATATCGATAAATGTGCTAATGAAAGATTCAACGAATTTAAAAAAATATATATATATATTTTCCGCGTATCTGCAAAACTTTATACTTAATGCTAAATAAATGGGCTGGAACAGTATTTGGATGTTAGTCACGCATACATATTTTATTCTATAATGCTATGGTAATTAAGATTGTAGTTGACACATTAATGACAATCTAAACATGATAGTTGCCCCTGTCATTTATGAATAAGCTATGTTTTGCTATGCAAGTTTCTGTCTAAATTTCAGCATTTTGCTTTGAATGCCAACACTTCTGCACTAGGTAAAAGAATAGAACCAAACTAAAACCGTTTGCTATACCAGAACTATGAGAGTGTATATAAGTTTGTAGACACTGGATCATAATTCCGATATCCCTTCTGATTGAAACCATACTCCAAGAAAAAACATAAAACAAAATGATTAGGAAGAAGAACAATGCAGGCTGAACCAAAGACAAGAAAAGGAGAGTGATTAGAAAGTTTTCCAAACAACTTTTCATTGTGAGAAGCATCTGATAGGAGTGGGGTGGGCATACGATTTAATAAATAAACTGTTGTAGGAACAGTTTTACCCCAAAAGACAGAGGGAACAGATGAAGAAAGCAAGTGAGCTCGTTTCAAGAATAAGTCTATGCTTATGCTCAGCAACACCATTTTGTTGAAGAGTACCTGAGTAAGATGATTGATATATAATGTTAGATGCATCCAAGAAGTCAATGAAGTCTTTCAACCAATATTCCCCACCCAAATTAGAACGAAGAACTGTATTTGTGAGAGGAGTGCGATGGTAGAGGCGATTTTAGGGATTGCGATTTGATAGGAGAAGAGCCTATGATACCATGAAAGTTTTATTGGGTGCAAATAATACTTTCTCTCAAATCGATAAACTCGATTTCAAGAATATATAAAGCCCAATAAAATTAGAAAAACCCTAGACTACCCAAAAGATAAATATACTCCTATTATTAAAAGGTACATACACTGTCACAAGAACATCAGCCCCCCCCCCCCCCCCCAAAAAAAAAAAAAAAAAAAAAAGACCAGAAAAGAACACAGAAAAAAAAGGCATTAGAAACATAGATTTAACGAAAGAGCTTCAACAATCTACAAAATAACTGAAAATATGAGGAAAATTCATATATAAGCAAAAGAAAAACATAACAAACTACTTTTTAAAAGAACAGGATGAGAACCTATTGGCGAGGTATCAAAATCTTCTCCACAGTACTGTATCAAAACAAGAAGTAACTCCATAACCTTAAAGAAAACGTATCTACACCTTTTAGGAGTTTAAATGGCAAGAAAACTGCTTAGAAACATGAAATCAAATAACATGTATTCTCAGTTACAATTACTATGTCCGTGCAGTATGCAGCACTAAAAGTCTAAAACTCAGAACTCACCAAGCATGATGGTATAGCCTAAGACATCATTAATCACCTCATGGCATGTTTAACATGGAGTTACATGTAGAAATCAGATAACACCTACTCAGGTGTTGCCAGCCATAGTAACTTCATGTTGTCAACACAAATTTCTATTTGCTTCAGAATATATATGTTACCTTTTCTGGAATTACACTATACTCTGTTTTTTTTTTTTTTTTTGCCACAAGATGCAACTGAAAAAATCTCAGCTATTGGCATTCACACAGCAAGGAAATAGAATAGTTACTTCCACGGCGATCCTTAACAATGAAGGGTTCTGTCTTTGCCTCTCTTATTCTGATCCCACTAGAATGACCCACTACTCTTGCCCCAAGCCTGAATTCACCACGTCTCCACCAGGCGCTAGTATGCTTGACAGAAATGGTATCTACTGAACCGATGCCATCTTTCAGATTCAGGTGTGGATTTCCAGCTAGCTGTGATTTTTTTCCTTCCTTGCCACCTACAATTTTACTGTTGAAGTCTTCCAGAGGCCAACTTCCTCCTTCATCAACATCAAAATCTCCATCAACCACAACAATTTCCACCTTTGCTGAGGCTTCTGGTCCAGATGTTACAACTTTCCCTGTAACAGCATTGACTAAAGCTACCTGCAAGGTGTTTTTTTCTCCTGCAATAGAAATTCCAGTGAACACCAGTGGAGAGATACTGCCCAAGAACTGTAATTTTAGATTCTCTGATTCGGAAGGATGTCTCTCGGAAGGATGTATCTCATTGCCTGAGTTCCTGAGTAAGAAGAACAAAGGTAATTAAGATCTATTGACTACTAAAAGGAAGTTGAACATGATTACTTTTTAAAAACAAAAAAGAAAAGAAAAGAACATGAAAATTGTAATCAACTCTTCGTGTTACTACGCACCACTTCACAGTAGTCGATAGTTTTTCTACTGCCAATTCATATCTCTTGTTCACCTGGAAACAATGTAGCATCAATCAGACACTAGTGATTCTTAAACAAAATCAAAATCAGACAGCAGCGGCGGAGGCACTAGTCATTCTGCTTGATTTTAACAATATGCTCCGCTGGGGATAATCACCAATAATTCGTTAAGTTTTTTGACGAAAATGACAATGTGTCACTCTTTCAAACGGTATTACACAATCATTTTGTCAAAAACTTAATAGTGCATCTATGTACAGATCATTTTACCACGAATGGAATATTTTGGGGACCAAACCGATAAAAAATGTATTGTTTAAGAGCCAAGAATACTATTAACCCATAAAATTTTTTGGCTGAAATGTCCATCCTAGACTAGATTCCAGGCTCCGCTCTGACCATCTCATTCTTATTCCTGTTGAAGGCCATTCAACCTTGGAACCATGGTTATAACTGTAACAGCAATATTTGAAGGAATTTATTGTTGTTGTTGATGTAAATTCAAGACCCACTTGCAGTTTTTAGCAAAGATAAGAGAGAGTAATGGCATAAGATGATGAATGGTCTGTAAGTAATTTAAGTGCAATAAACCTTTCAGAACATGAGTGTTTACATGCATGTGAACAAAGGGTGCAATAACAGATAGTTGCCAACTGTTACTTGAAATCAAATCTCCATTATTTTCTCTCTTTTCTCCCACCACATAAGACCCCAAATCGCACATCCAAGCTATGTTCAAATCCTTACAGAAACATACTAAAACATACCAAATCGCACGTACTCACAAAGACAACCAATATGAATGTAGAAATACAGAACTCGTGCCTTTTGAGCCAAAATATAACCAGAAGTTAACGTACCAAAAGCTGCCAAATTGGTTCTAGGAAACTCTGATGCTTCTGTTTCTCCATCACCTCCATTACCACCCTGAGAAACCCAGAACAAGAAACACCAAAAAAAAAAAAAAAATCAAAACCAAGAAATGATCAAAGCCTCGCAAAGTCCGTACGAGAGCCTCCCACAATATTTCCCAGTGAATAAAACAGTATAACCAAGTTCATTTTAACGATTCAAATGACATATATACATGCATAGATTTGTATATATACATAGATATGTGTGCGTGTGTGTGCAGATATTCTGAAAGGAGGAGGAATGGAATGTCTCAGTACTCTCACTTTCTTAAAGCAGCAACTATTCTTTGCTCATCCTCGGAACAATTGTTTGCTTCAGACAGTTGACAGGTAGAATTAACGCTGCTACATCCGACTTCTAGATTCTGTGACATGACTCAATCAGTATTTGGCACACTAGACTTCAATGAACGTTGGAGCCCGCCTTGTCTTTGATTGGCAAGTGCCGATGAGACGATGAGTCTCTCTGTCTCTCTCCCTGTTGGCACAGGTGTGTGCGGCGGTATGTATGTGAATGGGATAATAATAACGTAATCATGGGTTGCTCTCTCTCTCTCTCTCTGTCGTGGGCCGCCGTAAGAGGATCACACAAAAGCGTACACGTGTAAATAAAAAACGCGTTTTCCAATGGTCCGGACCATCAACTGCAGGGAAGTTCCAAGGGTGAAGACCATTGCTAATTGAATTCTACTAGATATTTATGGGTCCTCTATGTGTGTTGAGATTTGTCTCGCGAATTGTTGTGTGAATTTCTTATGGGTTCTGTTCACAAAAAAATATATTATTTAAAAATTTAATAATATATAATTATTAGATTAATTATAGATTTCACTCATAACTAATTTAATACTCAATTCATTCCTACATTGATCATAACTGCACATTAACACAAAAATACCACAAACCTCATAAATACAACACTCTCTTTTTTATGTTTTGTTGACTTTTTGGGTTTATTTAATGTTATTTTCCTTGGCTTTAACCTTCTTAGCTTGCAATTTACCTAATACTCCTATCATTATTAAATATTTGTTGTTTAAGATTTTTGTACAACAATTAAGAAAGTTATTAAATAGCTTTAATATGAGTATAAAATAATTGCACAAGACTAAAATACTATTATTTAATACGTATTAAGAAGAAAATAAATATGAGAGACACTTAGCGTCCACCTAATCTAATGTATTGAAAAATTAAGAGTAAATTTAGAAAAAAAAAATATTAATTATGTTTTGATTTTATTAAACGACAGATATTATGGAACAAAAAAAATTATGTAAAACGACAGATATTTAGGAATGGATGGAGTATTTTGTTTGATAGGAAAGATGAAAAATATGAAGTATGAAAAGTAGAAAAAATCAAAAATAAAGGGGATTATATTTTTTATCCTACAAGAAAGGAAAGTAGGAATGCTGCACTTTCATTCTTTTGTGTTTGATTGCATGGATGAAAAATAAAAATGATTAATTTATTTTTATACTTGGCAAGATGGAAAAAATATATTTTTAATTTTTAATATTTAATTTTTTTATAAAAAAAGTGTAAATACATATTTTATCATTGTATTTATAAATAAAATTAATGTATACATAATATTTATAAAATAAAGTAAAATAATTTTGAATTCAAGAGATAAATAGCGGTTCAGATAATTTTGTGATAAAAAAAGGCATTATCCAATGGACGATATTATACCAAATTGTCTTGAGCTATTGAAGTCTTAAATCGTTTTGATTTGACGTATCATATTAACCCTTAAAATATTTTTTCTGATCAAAATTTTTAGTTTCCACAATTAACATCCCTAAATTAAATTCTCCCAATTATTTCCCTAATTGGTCTTGTTGTCATAATTTTGTTTAATTACCCATTTCATGTCCTATTTTGTTTAAAAATTTTAATTTTTGAATCCAAGCGCTCTCATTCACACCAAAATCTCCTCTCGAGGAAATCTTTACCCGACATCCCCTCTCCAAACCAACGATGTCTCCTATTGAGGAAATCTCTCTTTCTCCCAATCTCAGTCACGCTTTCGGGGGTCAGGGTCACACCTTCAATAACCACAATTTCTCTCTCTCTTATTCATCGTCGTCGACAGTTGATGCCAACAATAGGTAGCAGCGGCCCAGCCACCACCATTTCTAGTGCCTATTTCAGGTATATCACGCATCTCCTCTCCCCCAATATTATTTTGTCTCTCCCCCTTTCTCTCTCACACATTCTCTAATGTCGTAACCACACCCGAAAGTCGTGCACACCAACTGTTCAATTTCAAATAGTGGTTTGGTTTTTTCAATATTATATTTCAATTCAATTAAGGCAATTAGTGGTTAATTGCACTTAACCGTGTGCAGACTTTTTCCCCAATGCTTTATTATTTTCTTTACTTTCAACAAGCAATGAAATGGGACTTATTTTTTGGGGTTGAGTTCATATTTTTGAGTCATTGCTCATATTGAAAATCAGTGTTTTATTTTTATTACTTTATTGAAAAACAATGTTGGATTACAATGTATAAATTGTTTTGAATTTGAGAGAATTTGTTGGTGGTAAAAAACCAAGTTTTATGTACATCATCTTCAAATTTCATCCAAGTCTCGGAGTTTACATCACATTTGTTAGTGATTTTGAGTTCATCTAAAGAAGGCCTAAACAAGCTGCCATCTAAAACAGTCCTGTTAAAAATGGTGATATTAAAAAGGTAGTTTTACTTATAGATAATTGAATATTTGACTATTTAATTCTATGTTTATGTGTGTGCCTTTTGCTTTTTTTTTTTATCAGAATTCGAGTGAAATTCATGCGATTGAGTTTCGAGTTTTGGTGAGATTTTTTTCTTTACTTTATTCTTTTTGGTGGAGTCATATGGATTAGTTTAATGATTAGTTTAATTAGGAGATAGCCATTGAAATTGGTTTTATATATCTCAACCTCTACACCAACTCATAATTCGACTAGTAAAGCATAATACAATGTGGGTGATAGTTCTGATTCAACTAGTGGGTTGAATTATTACTATAAGTATGGTAAATTTACTATTGACATGATATATATGATCAATTGTCTCGAATCTTAGTTTTTCTCTCTAATATCTTTGTAGGAACAACAACATTTAATTTACAAAGGTTGGATCTTAAAGGACGATCAAACCCTTCAAATAGTAATATACATGGTGAATTCATCTCTTTCTCTTTCTCTCCCTTAATCTATGTACGTTTGTGGTGCACTTAATGGCCAGAGATTATGGTTAAAAAAAAAACTTCATTTTCTTAAAGAAGTCTTATTTTGGTGGGTTTGTTGCTACAGTGGTTTTCATGCACAGAACAACATTATGACAAAATTAAAAAAATTATCTGAACTAGAAAATATTTTTAAGATGATAGTAGCATCTTTTTGAAGAAGTTGGACTTTTGATTTCACTATTGGTGTGCTTCTTTGATAGTTAGTATTGTGTTGTTTTCTGCACTAATTTGGATATCTATAAATTCTGCAGTGCTCTATTCTTCCTTTTTTTTTTTAACCTTTTGATCCGAACGTAGTGCGAGCTTCTTCATAGTATTGGATTTTTGTGAATTTTGATTTTTTTTGTTGATTTGAATTTTAATTTGGCCAAAACCGAATGAAATGTGATTCATTTTCGCAATATTGAGCAATAAAGTGTGAAGGTAAAATCATCTGTATAGATTTGAAATACTTTATTTTGTTGGATTACTCATTTAGTCAATGTGTTTCGGGAAAAGCTTTCATGAAAAAAAAAATCAAAAAGTTTACGTATACTTGCAGAATTTTGACTATTTGATCTTGAAATTTTTATTTTTGTAACAAATTTATTTATCTGTAGTCTATATGCTTCATTAATATTGTATATCTAGCTTTGTGTGATTCGATAAAGAGTTTACATTACTAATTTCAAAAGTTATTAATTATACTTTGGGTACTTATGCAACCACTATGACTACTATTGAACCCTTTGTTTATAGTCTCTTGAATCGTTTGGTTGACTGTCACTTCATAAATATCTTATGTCTTTGACTTGAAAAGCAAATTAAAAGATTTTTTGATAATACAATTTGTTAAAAAAAAATTCTGAAAAAATAAAGCAATGTGAATATTAATTTTGTTTCGTTTTATATCAATGATGAGAAGAGGAAAGATGAGTGGTGGTGAACGTTATAAGAGGGAGGCATATTTGTACCTATTAGTTAAAGTTCTTGAATAGTAATTATTTGCTTTTCACAATCTTCCCTAATTTTTTGGTAAAGTGTATTTATGTATTATATTTTCAAATATATGTACTGCTTTAAAGTCTCACCATGTTTGGCACGTAAAAATTA